TTAGAGAACGCATTCGCGTAGAGCTTTTCTGGGCGTGGCAGACTTTTTCCTTTGCGATCCCCACCCCCTTTTTGCGATTGGGAAGAAGGAATGTATGGGCAGTGACTAGTTTTATCAACGAGACTTAGGCCATTTTCTTCATTTTCCACTTCTCTTGAACGATTTGGAGCTCTTGGAGAGGGATTTTTCATCTAGTATTTTAAGGTAAGTTATTCCTATACAATGTGAGTTTAATACATAGATTATGAGTAGATTTTAACATAGAAATTGTAGAAATCAAGGGATTATGTTGAAAATCTTGGTTTTGGTAAAAATGGGATTAGACCACGAAATTGATTATGGAATTAAATATAAATTATATATTTGAGTTCGTAAGTTTATGGGTAACATTTATCTACAAAAAATCCAAAAATCGGGCACATGGGCTCGGAGGTGACTTTTAGGAATTTTTCAAATTGGGTTGGGTAATTAGTCTAATAGATGAATTATGGGTTTTTGAGCATATATTAATTAGTTTGTACAACTTTTGACTAGTTTCTAGTTGCTCGGCTTTTGAGGATATTAGTGTGGTTTGAGGAACGGAAAAAGGACTTAAAAACGAGGTAAGTCACTTTCCTAATTTTGTAAGAGGGAATTTTCCCTTAGGTGTTTAAATGGTTAATTATTAATAGTCGGTGCTACATACGCACGAAGTGGCGAGAGTCCATACATAGCTAAAATCATTCTTATGTTCGGGTAGACATAGGACTTTACCATGCCATACTAGTACTATTTGAACCCAACTTGTTAGTTTAATTACTTGAATTTATAATTAAAATTTAATTTAGAATTTTGTGAGACCGATCTTCATTATCTTGAGTTTTGGGTGAATACTTGATTGTTGGTGAAAATCATGTCTTCTTTGAGTATTATTGTTGTATTGTAGTCGTTAACTGTAGCTTGTAGAGTTAATCTATTCCTGTGGATCGGGCTGAATGCCTCGACAGTAGATATATGAGATGCATCTATGCTTCGCGTCGGTCGACCCTCAACAGTGCACATGATTATTCTGGATCGTTCTATATGACCTCGATATAACTCGTGCATAATATTGTTAGGAGTCCGATTACACTTGAAAATTCCTTCATGACTTGAGAATTGATATTACTTGATGGATCTTAGTTGTCTAGCCGTTGGTACTCCGCATCTTAACGGAGAATTCAGTTTCACCGGGTCCATGTCGTGAAGTTGGCACGTGATAATTTTGATTTTAAATTGATATTTCATTAAGGAATCGTTTATTTATTGTTTCCCCATTCCATTATTACTGTTGTATTTTATGCCTATTTATAATTCTTGCACTTTATTTAACCACTAGTAAGTTTCGATTTTGACCCTTCATCAATACTTCTTCGAGGTTAGACTAGTTACTTACTGGGTACATGTTAGTTTACGCACTCATGCTACACTTCTACACAAATTGTGCAAGTACTGAGGCAGGTACATCTAGTACTCGTTCGAGCGCGCATCCACATTACCCAGAGGCCTAGTGGTGAGCTGCTCTCCCTTGCTCTGGTCTACAGCACTCCAAGTATCCTTCCTGTTGTATTTATTATTCCTGTCTATTTTATTTCACATAATAGTTGTAGTGGTTTGTATATTTTACTAGATTTCTCGTGCACTTATGATATCAGGTTTTTGGAAATTTTTAGTAGATATTTATCATTTTTGCCTGTTAATATCACCATTCCACTCTTATGTTTATTTGTATGCTTTAAATCACCATGACCTTTTATACTTATTTTCTTTATTAAATAAAATTCATGACTTTAAAATAATAAAATAAATAAATAGATAGATTTGTTCCCCATTGGCTTGCCTAACGGTGACGTTGGGCGCCATCACGACCTATGGAAATAGATCATGACAACTTGGTATCAGAGCACTAGGTTCACATAGGACTCACAAGTCATGAGCAGGCCTAATATAGTCTTGAGGATCGGTGCACAGACATTCGTACTTATCTTCGAGAGGCTATGGGTGTAAGGAAACTTCCATTTCTTCATCTTCCATTGTGCAGTTGATGTTATGCTAAGTATCTTTTTCTTATTCTCTCACAGATGGTGAGAACGCGTATTGCGACTGTGTTTAGTGGCAGAGAGGCTGCTCCCAGGTTGTTATAGGCCAAGGCAGAGGCCGAGGGAGGGCCACAACTCCTGCTAGAGGAGGAGGACGTCCTAGAGTTGCTCCTATTGCACCACTAGTGGATCCAGTGGAGGACCTGTTATTAAGGAGCAGGATGAGGCGCATGCAGCTAAGCCAGACCCACCAAATTTTATGATTGCAACGAGATTCCATTAGGTCATAGGCCGTGTGCTGTGGTTCATGGATTCTATGGCTCAGGAAGGGCTATTTCCGGTATATATAACCACATCTCAGGTAGGAGGGAGGAGCACAGACCCCTACCACTCAGGCTCCAGAGCACAATGCTACCATATATCAGACCCTAGGTGTACTACCTGTGGGCGAGGCTCAGCCAGTTACATCGATTATACCAGAGCCCAAACCAACCTCGACCATTGAATAACAGAAGCGGTTGGACAGGTGGATCAGGCTACATCTTCCTATCTTTGGCGGTGAGTGGCATGAGGACCCATATGAATTTATTGATCATTGCAAGAACATGTTGCATAGTATGGGTGTATTGGAGTCCAATAGGGTGGACTTCAACACATTTTAGTTGGAGGGCAATGCCTGTAGATGGTGGCAGTATTATCTCTATAGAGTACTAGCAGGTTCACCCCCCTTGACTTTGGATCAATTCACACGTCTCTTTTTGGAGAGATATATTGCACCCTCTTAGAGGGAAGAGTTACAGGTTCATGTTGAGCGGCTACAGTGGGGTCAGATGTTTGTGACTGATTATGAGGCGAGATTCTCTGAGTTGTCTCGCCATATACTAATGATACTCCCTATAGATGCTGAGAGAGTGCAGAGGTTAATTGCGGGCTTGCATTATGGTATCCAAGTTACTATGGTCCGAGAGGTTTAGTGGTAAACAATTTGGGAAAAATGGGTAATTAGGGCTTGAGATTAAGAGACCTTAAAATGGGTATTTGAGGGGTCAATTGAACTCCAATTTCAATGTTCTTATTATGTATATACTCATGAGAGTACGAGGTTTCTGAAAATATAAATTTCACCCGATTCTGAGACGTGGGCCCGAGGGGCATTTTGGTCATTTTACCTAATTTCGCGTATTAGCTTAGAATTTAATTGTATAATCCGTTACTTGAAGTGTTATTTACAATATTCAATTGAATTGAATATATTTGGGCCATTTGGAGTCGAGTACTCGTGGCAAAGACATGGTTTCCGGTTGATTTTGAGCTGATTCGAGGTAAGTGGCTTGCCTAACCTTGTGTGGGGGACTTTTCCCTTAGGATTTGGTATATTTGATAATTGAAATACCTTGTACATGACGTGACGAGTGCGTACTTGTGCTAATTATTGGAAATCTGGTTTTCATTAAGCAATTACTAGTATGTTTCCTTTCCTGTTTTATTACTCGCACTATTAAGCATGTTGCTAGCTTAGGAAAGCATATCTAAGTGATTTAATTGCTTTATTTGTTTAAATTGCCTTACCTAAATTCTATGCAGCATACTAGGCTAGAATTACTTGTTTGCCTTAATATGAAATTTGCAATTTCTGAATATTTTTCTTGTTGTTGCTGTGTATTTACATTGGGACTACGGATGTGGGATTCTGGTAGCTCCCCTTTGTCTGTTTATTTGGGACTACGGATGTGGGATTCCAGTAGATCCCCCTTGTCTGTTTATTTGGGACTACGGATGTGGGATTCCGGTAGATCCCCCTACACAGTTATATGGAACTACGGGACTGCACCCGGTAGATTCCCCCAGTACTGGGTATTTATATTTGGGGACTACGTATCGGGATTCTAATAGATCCCCGTGCACTGATAGTTGGACCACGGGACGGGATCCCGGGAGATCCTTCAGATATATATGATGGACTACGGGACAGTATCTCGGGAGATCCATTGGATGGTTGTAATTGGGACTACAGGACGGTATCTTGGAAGATGCCGCAGTTGTTATCTCTGTGTTGAGCTGTATTTCTTTCCCGTGATTTATTTTGTCTTTGTTCTAGTTGTTGTTGTTCTTTCAATTCTATGTTATTTCTTACTGTTGCACTTATTTATACTGTTTTATTCCACACTGTTAACCCTTATATATTATTTAATCTCAGTAGGACCCTGACCTTCCTCGTCACTACCCGACCGAGGTTAGGCTTGACACTTACTGAGTACCGCTGTGGTGTACTCATGTCCTTTCTGTGCATGTTTTTCATGTGCAGATCCAGGTACTTTCACTCAGTCTTATCATCCTTGAAGCGAGGCGCTTCTGTAGAGACTTCGAGTTATATTTGCCACGTCCGCAGACCGAGGAGTCCCTTTCTATTATCACATTTATGTATTAGTCCTTCTGTATTTTCCTTTCTTTGTTAGACATTCTAGAGTTAGAGCTATATAGTATCCTTATCTTGTGATCGTGTGTTTCTGAGTCTTGGAAATATGTATTGGTTTTGAGAGTTAAATATTGTGTATGCCGAGCGGCACTTTTAAATGCTGTTTATTGCTTTATTTCTGTTTTAAGTTGTTTTATTTCCGCAAATTTGGTTTTTCTTCCGCAATTTAGGCTTACCTAGTCGTTGAGACTAGGTGCCGTCACGATGGTTCACGGAGGGTGAACCAGGGTCGTGAGAAGTTTGTATCAGAGCCCTAGGTTCATAGGAGTCATGAATCATAAGCCGGTTTATTAGAGTCTCGTGAATCGGTACGGAGATGTCTGTACTTATCTACGAGAGGCTATGTAACCATTAGGAAAATTTCACTTCATTTGATTTCCCTGTTGTGCGAGATTTTGACATCACAATCCTAAACCTCTGTCTTCCATTCTCTCACAGATGGTGAGGACATGTGCTACCCGAGATGATCAAGCACCCGCACCCCCAACTGCAGCCGTCAGAGGCCGGGGTCGGGTTAGAGGCTGAGGACGAGCCCATGGTGCAACCAAAGCACCCACGCGATCTGCCGCAGATGGGCCACCAACAGCTCTAGCCGGAGTCCAGTCACTTGATAAGCCTACTGCTGCTACTACTCCAGCACTTCAGGAGACATTAGCGTAGTTCCTGAGCATGTTTGGTAGATTAGTTCAGGCGGGGTTGATTCAGGTTGTACCAACTACTTCTTAGATCGGGGGAGGAACCTCGACTCCTTCCGCGCCCACTCGAGAGCAGCGAGTTCTCATTAATCGAGTTCGAGATATCATAGAGACATAACCTGTGGTCCCAGTTCAGCAGGTGGTGAGGACCTCTCGCCGGGTAGAGGACATACAAGGTCAGGAGAGAGAGTATATGGAAGTGAGGAGACCTCGTAGACTGGAGAGATCCATTGGTCCTTATTTTGGGGGAAAAGTACGGCATGGTAGAAGTTTTGTAAGTCAGCCAACTCAGCTTGCGTCTCGGACTTCACTCAGTGTTTAAGGGGTTCAGAGGTCTCAAAGTACCTGTACCGCACAATTTTCACTGCCACGTCAGACGCGAGGTTGCTTTGAGTGTGGTGACATACGCCATGTGGTGAGGTATTGCCCTAGACTTGGGAGGAGTGCACCTCCACAGACTTCTCTGCCACAATGTGCCCTGCAGAGTTCTCAGGCTATAGTTATAGCTCCAGTTGCTACCCTACCTGCTCAGCCAGCTAGAGGTGGAGGTCGGGGGGTAGAGGTCGCCCTAGATAGGGAGGCAAGGTCAGATACTATGCCCTTCCTACCCGTACCGAGGCTGTTGCCTCTGATTCTGTCATCACAGGTATTATACTAGTTTGTCACAGAGATGCATTGGTTCTATTCGATCCAGGTTCCACTTATTCCTATGTGTCTTCTTATTTTGCTCTGCATTTGGGTGTATCTCAGGATTCTTTAAGTTCCCTTGTTTATGTTTCTACTCTTGTGGGAGATTCTCTTGTTGTGGACCGCATTTATCGGTCGTGTTTGGTTGCTCTTAGTGGTTTTGAGACCACCGATTTATTGTTGCTCAGCATGGTAGACTTTGATATTATCTTGGGTATGGACAGGTTGTCACCCCACTATGCTATTCTTGATTGTCACACCAAGACCATGACGCTGGCTATGCCAGGTATGCCGCGTGTTGAGTGGAGGGGTGCTTTAGATCACACTCCTAGTAGAGTTATTTCTTTCCTTAAAGCTCAACCTATGGTTGAGAAGGGGTGTGACGCATATCTAGCCTATGTGAGAGATGTCAGTACTGATACCCTTTCAGTTGATTCAGTTCTAGTAGTACATGACTTTTTTGATGTGTTTCCAGCTGATCTTCCAGGCATGTCGCTTGATAGAGATATTGATTTTGGTATTGATTTGTTGCCGGACACTCAGCCATTTCTATTCCTCTATATCGTATGTCTCCTCTTGAGTTGAAGGATCAGTTGCAGTAATTGCTTGATAAGGGCTTTATTCAGCCTAGTGTATCACCTTGCAGACTCCTATCTTATTTGTGAAGAAAAAGGATGGTTTTATGCATATGTGTATTGTTTATTACCAATTGAACAAGGTTACAGTGAAGAACCGTTATCCTTTGCCTCGTATTGATGGTCTGTTTGACTTGCTTCAGGGCGCATGAGTGTTTTCTAAGATTGACTTGTGCTCAGGTTACCATCAGTTGAAGATTCGGGAGCCAGATATCCTGAAGACTGCTTTCGGGGCTCGGTATAGTTATTACGAGTTCCTTGTTATGTCATTTGGGCTGACCAATGCCCCAACAACCTTTATGCATTTGATGCATAGTGTATTCTGGCCTTATCTTGACTCATTTGTCATTGTCTTTATTGATGACATTCTGGTGTATTCCCAGAGTAGAAAAGATCACGAGCAGCACTTGAGGACAGTGCTCCAGACTCTGAGGGAAAAGAAGTTATATGCAAAGTTCTCAAAATGTGATTTTTGGTTGGATTCCGTGGCATTCTTAGGCCACGTGGTATCGAGTGAGGGTATTTAGATGGATCCGAAAAAGGTAGAGGTAGTGCAGAGTTGGCCCAGACCATCCTCAGCTACAAAGATCCACAATTTTCTTGGTTTGGCGGGTTACTACCGTCATTTTGTGGAGGGGTTTTCATCGATCTCAACCCTTATGTGGTGCTCCGTCCCAGAAGGGTGCTCCGTTCCAGTGGACGGAAGAGCGTGAGGCGACTTTCAGAAGCTCAAGACAGCTTTGACTCCAGCCCCAGTTTTGATATTGCCTACAGATTCAGGGCCTTACACAATTTATTGTGTTGCATCTCATATTTGACTTGGTGCAGTATTGATGCAGGATGGCAAGGTCATTGCCTATGCTTTGCGGCAGTTGAAGATTCATTAGAAGAACTATCCAGTTTATGATTTGGAGTTAGCAGCCATTGTTCACATATTGAAGATCTGGAGGCATTATCTGTATGGCATGGCATGTGAGGTGTTCACGGATCACAAGAGTCTACAATACCTGTTCAAGCAAAAGGATCTAAATTTGTGCCAGAGGAGGTGGTTAGAGTTGTTGTAGGACTATGATATCACTATTCTGTATCACTCGGGCAAGGCCAATGTGGTGGCCGATACTTTGAGTCGCCAGACAGAGAGTTTAAGGAGTTTGGCTTATCTACAAGCATTAGAGAGGCCTATGGGGATGGATGTTCAGGCCTTAGCCAGCCAGTTTGTGAGATTGGATCTTTTAGAGCCTAGTCGAGTTCTAGCTTGCGTGGTCTCTCGGTCTTCCTTATTTGATCGTATCAGGGAGCATCAGTATGATGACTCTCATTTGCTTGTACTCAAGGATAAGGTTCAGCATGGTGATGCCAGAGATGTGACCATTGGCGAGGACAGAGTATTGATGATGCAGGGTCGGGTCTGTGTACCCAATGTTGATGGGCTTCAGGAGTTGATTCTAGAGGAGACCCACAGTTTGCGGTATTCCATTCATCTAGGTGCTGCGAAGATGTACCAGGATTTGAGGAAGCACTATTGGTGGAGGCGGATGAAGAAAGATATAGTTAGGTTTGTAGCTCGGTGCCTCAACTATCAGCAGGTGAAGGATGAGCACCAGAGACCGGGTGGGTTGCTTCAGCAGATAGAGATTCCGGAGTGGAAGTGGGAGCGGATCACCATGGACTTTGTAGTTGGGCTCCCGCAGACTTTGAGAAAGTTCGATGTCGTTTGGGTGATTGTGGATTGGCTGACCAAGTCTGCTCACTTTATTCCTGTGTGTACTACTTATTCTTCGGAGCGGTTGGCAGAGATCTATATCCGAGAGATTGTTCGTCTGCAT